TCTCTCTCTCTCTCTCTCTCTCTCTCTCTCTCTCTCTCTCTCTCTCTCTCTCTCTCCTTCTACTCTCTCTCTCCTTCTACTCTCTTTCCCTGTATCATTCTCTTCCTCTTTTTCTTTCAAATTTCTTCTGTCCTAAAACTAGAGTAGAGAATGGCTAGCATTACACTTGACACCGTTGCTAATAGATGCTAGGCTTGATTGAGCATTGCATTTTTCAGCTTCATCGTATATTTGATTCAGCGACCAAAATTACAAGAAAATAACTAAAGAACACTTTCCAACCAGAATACAGTGAGTAAATATTTGTGATTTTCTTTCTTTTTTTAACCAAATAGGAGCTGAATTATTTTTTCTTTAACAAGAAAATCTTGAATGTTTCACAGTTTTTTGTTGTTTTTTAAATAAACGAAACATACATAAAACCAATCTCAAAGAGTGAGCATGGCTGGAGGGCCTCTTTTCCTCTATCCGTGACAAACAACACAAAGGGATGATTTGCATGAATTCAGGCTTTTTCAATTGAGAAATATCCAAATGTATACAATTAAACAAATAAAAATCTTCCAAAGTCTACAATATAACCAAATAATTGTCACTGATTACAAGCGGAAGAAAAAAGTAAGTAAGTATTGTCACTGATTGAGGAAATACAGTTTTTGTTGTTGTTTAATTTTTATTGCAATGAAAAGAGGGTGTCTTCCAAGTGGCTTGACTATGAATACCAAATCTGTTTGACACTCAATTTAAAAAACAGAAAAGAAAGAACCATTCTTATAATAGATTGCATAAAACTCAGAAAAGCAAGCACAAAAATTGGCACTGAAGAGCAAGCACAAAAACTGACAATTAAAAACAAGCACAAAAATCGAAAATGAAAAGCATACGAGTGCATCAATGTTAACCAACTTCCACCTGAGTTGCCTCCAGCAGACACAACCACCTGGGCTGCCTCCAGCCACACCCACAAATTTAAGTAGGCCTACCCACAATAAAACAGCAATAACTTTCCCTCCAAGCAGCTACAAAATTAGTGGACAATAAGGGTACAGAAGTGCAATAACGGTAACTCTAATGCCATTTTTTTTAAACTTGGAAATAATGGACTGGAGGAAGTTTTAGAGAGATAAAGAGGGATTCGGATTTTCTCGTAATCAGGTGGCTGCCTGCATATGAGTATTCTCGTAGACCACCGCAATGAGTTACGAAATTTTGAGAATGGACAGGACACTTTGAATTAATATATCAGTAATTTTTCAAAAGTTAAGGGTCTCTTTTTAGTGCCACACTGATATTGTCAGAGAGCAGATCTCTTTATTGAGTCAGAGAGTCTGATGGATGTAATAAATGTCCTAATAAATATTAGCGTAGATCCATAATGAGAACTCAGGCATGTGCAACACCTGTGACAAACATTCTACCTCTCTTTTACACTATACTTTCCACAACTGGTATCTCGTTGTCTACAGTTATGCAATAGTGGATGCTTTCCAAGTTTGGTTTTTACTATGTGCTTAACAGAACTGAGAATGTCGTAATAAACAATATACAGTCTAGCACACACATTTATCAAAGTTTAGCAGGCCACAAAAATCTTTTCGTTAAGAACAAATTTAAGCACACATTTTAAATACAAAGAATATAACATACATGAAAAAAATTCGGCACCTGAAAATCTGTTTGCTAAGCTATTTTTCTTTATGGCGTGCTAGACTGTAGTGCAAGTGATTTTTTTTTAAATATGATCTCCATGTACAACCTCTAGATCTTACTTCAACTACACATAAATATGCCCATTCTTTCACACAATTAACAGAACACATATAATCACAAATCAACAGCAATATAACACACACCTGTCAAAAGTCAACTACAAACTTTAATCACTTATTTTCATTCATATCTACAAAGAATAAAAATACTATTGATTTAAAAATAAAGACTTTAAAATGCCTTCAAAACAGGGAAGACTTACAGCAGCATTTTATTTCATTTTAAATGTGTCTGCCTGAAGGGAAAATGGGAATATTTGAACTAAATCCAACTGCATCTGTACTGATGAGTTGGAAATTCAGATAAACGTTCATAAAAAGCCAGTTTTATTCTCTTCTTAAAATAAACCGGTATTATTCTTCTCTTCTTAAGGCCAATAGAGCCAAAATGAGAACTCACTGGGTTATGGAGGTCAACCCACTTGTCTGTCTGGGACTCAACAAACTCATTGTTGATGAACATTTTAGTTGTGGGCTGCAATAGAAAAGAAAAAAAAAATTTCAATGTACAGCCTATTAAGAAGATTATGAGACATTATATTAAAATGTTCTTTATTCAAAACAGTTTAGACTTACACCCGCCAACTAAACCAAAACTGAATACATCAAAAATACATTACACAGGCACAACAGGTGCAAATTGTATTCACCCATCCTTTAAACACACACATACACAAACTCATCTCTGCAAAATGAGTGCAAAGAGCTATAAAACAGAACCTATTAAAAAAGAGGACCAAGTTCCGACTGATACAGTCTCACATACACAACAGTGCAAAACACACACTCATATCTGCAAAATAAGCACAAACACAGGCACAAGCACAACAGGTGCAAATTGTATTCACCCATCCTTTAAACACACACATACACAAACTCATCTCTGCAAAATGAGTGCAAAGAGCTATAAAACAGAACCTATTAAAAAAGAGGACCAAGTTCCGACTGATACAGTCTCACATACACAACAGTGCAAAACACACACTCATATCTGCAAAATAAGCACAAACACAGGCACAAGCACAACAGGTGCAAATTGTCATCACCCCCCTCCCCAACCCCTTAAACACATCCACACACCAATTCTCTCAACCCAACACTCTATCATTGCAGAATCACTCTCAAACATACACACTCATCTGCAGAGTAAGCGCAAACAGGAATAAGACAATCTATTCAAAAAGGGCATCAAGTTCCTACTGATACATTCTCACAGACACAACAGAGCAAATTGTTACCTCTCTATTTCACAACCCCCCACCCTTACACACAAACACACACATAGACTCTCTCAGCCCTACACTATAACATTGTAGATTCACTTACACACACACACACACACACACACACACACACACACACACACACACACACACTCATCTCTGCAAAATGAGTGCAAAGAGCTATAAGTCTTACATACACAACAGGCCCCCTCCCTTTTTTTTTACAAATAAACTCGTTGACTCAGCCCTACACTCTAACATTGCTGGCGCACTCTAACATTCACAACACACACACTCATATCTGCAAAATAAGCAAAAAACAGCTATAAGACATAACCTTTTAAAAAAGGGGGATCAAATTCCTACTGACATAGTCTCACAAACAACAGGAGCGCCCTTGGAAAGAAGTAGAACCTACTTATGAAACCCTTCCCTCAGCCTCCACATTTATTGTGAACAATGTTTACCTTTGTGGCAAATTGCATCTTATTCATTCCTCAATTATTTTTTTTTCGTCATAGGTAACTTTACACCTTCCATGACCAGCATCTGTGACATAATGGTATGACTCTTTGCTGTTGCATGCAAAGGACATGAGTTTGATTCTTGTGTGGGTAAATTCATTTCCTCATGAGTCTCCATATTTTTTTTGTAAGATACTGTATCCTACTCAACCGAACTTAGTCCTGACAGGCATGTTTAAGTAAGGTTTTACGGCGCTCGCAAATGCATATGAGCGCCAAGGGGTGGATGTTAACAGAGAAGTCCAAACAGGAAATCAGGCTTACTCTGCTCACCTCTATAGCCTCAACAACACAGAGTGCTTCGACTACCAAGGCATCCCGGAAATAGCAGTTCACTAGGGAGTGACAAACGTACATAAGAAAAAGAGGAAAAAATGACGATAGTAAGGAAGTGGAAAGAAAAAGCAGCAGTTCCCCCTATGTTGTTCCCACATAGTATGAGCATGACATTGATAAATCCAGCCCATTTACAATTCTACTGTGCACAAGAACATGTTAATATCCCGCCTTTGGGAAAGGCCAAAAAACACTTCAGTCAGTTGCAGCGCCCTGGAGCAGGGTGTCTGACAGACAGGGTCCTAGCAGCCCATCTCCAAAATGATCCCAATAGAGAAGATGGAGGCATAAAAAAAAATTGACAAAATCACGCCAGAGAGTAACAAACATAAAAAAGAAGGAGGGGAGATAAGGACGACAGATGTTTGATAGGAAAGAGGAAGTGTTTTACAGCACTTGCTACAAAATTAGGTCATGATATAAGTGCCGAAGAGAGATGTTATAAGAGAGTAACAAACACAAAAAAGAAGGGAAGATAAATAGATGTTCAATTAATAAGAAAGAAGGAGCAAACCACACCAGAGGACCCGCCAACCTCCCGCCAACCTCCTACAAAGTTGTATACTAGTTATAATAAAATTTTGCCTTACCACACTTGACGCATAACATCTGGACATGTGAAGACCATGGCTTCCAGTCTGTAGAAAAGTGAAAAAGGAAGAGTAAATTAAAACACATGACGATACTAATCAAAGAAGGGAGGGAGGGAGGGAGGGAGGGAGGGAGGGAGGGAGGGAGGGAGGGAGAGAGAGAGAGAGAGAGAGAGAGAGAGAGAGAGAGAGAGAGAGAGAGAGAGAGAGAGATTGATTTTAGTTTTAGTAAGTGGTTTATGGCACTTGCAACACAATAAGGTCATTTAAGTGCCAAAGAATAGATGTGTTACAAGAGAGTAACATACACAAAAAAGGAGGAGAGATAAGAACAATAGATGTTTGATAGGAAAGGAGCAAACCACACTAGAGCACCTGCCAACCACCCACAGAGAGAGAGAGAGAGAGAGAGAGAGAGAGAGAGAGAGAGAGAGAGAGAGAAAGTGAGAGAAAGAGGGATGGACGACAACAGATAGACAGACAGACATGCAGACAGATGGACAAACAGGCAGGCAGGCAGGCAGGCAGGCAGAATCAGATATTTTCACCTACACTAATAAATTCATGACGAAAAATAAAACTATGGAATATTTTTTTCAGGATCTGCTGTTACAGTCATGCATAACAGTCGTTTAAACCTATTCTTTTAATTTATGCTTGCACAATTAATTAGGCTTGCTTTCTTTAGTGCCTTCAACACAAGAAAAATAATTAGGTCTAGGTCACATAATGTGCTGTACCATTGCAGAATCTCTGCATAGTGCAGCGATTAGGTTTGAAAAGAGAACTTTTCGATTACATATAACCCTGAAAAGAAGGCAGAGAGGTTTAGGAAATGAATTCCAAATATCAGGGCCTACTGATATCAACTCTTTAAACCCGACAGACCGGTAGTTCGACCTGGGTCAAAGGTCTCTATGCCACAAATGCCTGATGTGTTTGTGTTGGTATTCCACTACTACCTCAAACCCGACTATGCACTCAAGTCCATTAATTAGGAACCAGAGAGAACTAGTGCAATCAGGATCTAAACCTCCAGGTTCAAAGAGTTCAGTCCTCTGGCTCCCATGCTTTTATACAAATTCAAAACAACTTAAGTATATCAAAACGCCTGATGAGTGTTCACACGCTTGAAATGTGACTGTACTGTTCGCAGTAGATTCAGTCTCGCTGTTCTCCCCTTATCTTGAAACGTGAGATAAGAAGGGGGACAAAAAAAAGAAAGGACTGCCAACTCTGTGCTACTGTGATTTTCTGAAGGTCATAGAGTTTGCCAAAAGTTTATGTTACCTTTCCAACATTACAATTTAAAGGCACATGTTTGTGTGGAGGCCTGCCATGTGGTGGCCTGCCATGCCAAAGATGTACAGATTAGAACCAACACTAAAACCTAAAATAAAATGGACTTCTTATCACATCTGAACCACTAACATTGCACTTGTTTCATCAATTTTTCTGTTGGAAAATTGAAATACGAAAACATAACATCCAATGAACTCAGTTTGAATGGATTTTCATTTTCCTAATCTTTGTCAAGATTATATTATTTTTATTTCTGTGCCCCTTTACGAGTTCTACACTATTAAAAAAGTAATTTCACAAGAGAAAAGTTTGTTCCTCAAAGCTATCACATACATCTAAACCTATCTTGGTCAAAGGGCGGAGAACTAAATGGATTATACATGAACAAACCAAGCATATATATATATAGCAACAGGCACAGGTATCAAATTTTGCCTGTCTTTTAATGTTAAGTTCCCAAGCTTGACCAGTTAGTTTAAGAATTATGAGTAAAATCTAGAGCTGTGCCAATTCAATTGAACTATTCGACATTCATGAATTTTGCCTCACTCAAAGCTTTTCGAAGAGTGGCAGTTCCATTCGAATACCGATTTGTTTTTGTTTTTTTCGATATAATGAATTTTTATCTGACTTTCATCAAAAAAGAGTTATAAAACATGCCTCAAAGAAGTATTCACAACTACATTTACTACTTTTTAATATTCATTAGTCACACCACAAATAGCTAAAGGGGCCATTTTTTCAAGCGCAGCAGATGGTTTTGCATAAGCTAGCACATCCACTAAGCTCCCCTTGTTCCATTCAAAATTCGAAGGGCAGGGTCAGGGATCAATAAAATGAGTGGTAATGAATACTGTCAGTCGCGCTGCACGAACTGCAGCCATGGTACACGAAGAGGCAGATGCACACTGAGCTACGAATTGCTGGATGAATAGTGTGGTGAATAAGAAATATTGAACAGCAAGCGCTGCGGATGGAATTTTTTTTTTTTTTAACATTCGCACACGACATTCGAATAGCATGAATATTCACTTCACGCTTCGAAGTTTCCATGAAGTTTCATTTCTCCCAAATCGCACAGCACTGGTAAAAGCTACCAGCTAGTGTTTAAGTGCACACAACAAAACTGAACACACATATATTTGAGAAAAAATGACATGCCACTCCCGAACCCCCTTTTCCTATTCAAGTACACTCCCAGAAACAAATTTAATTCTGTACAGCCTAAGGGAAGAACAGCAAAGGTTTAGACATGGATCAAATACAGTTTACGTTAAATCTGGTCTAAATAGAATAGGTGTTTGGCATCACAAACCTGTATGCAACATCTGACCCCAAAGATTGTTCACTACTCAAGAGTAAAGAGTATGACAGCAATGCCAATGTGACACTTCTGCATTTCTGTTGACCATTTATCCCAAACACACTTTAACATAATGACATCAGCAAGATGAGTAAATCTTTTCGTTTTGAGCGTATGAATTTCAGTATGTACAAATGTCAGGCTAAGTCAAGGGAAACATATAAAACTGGAAAACTGGGTCAAAATTTTACATGAATTATGCCCCCCATGCCACATCAACCTTCATGATGGATATAGTCGCTTAGATTTGCAGATTTCCGCTTCTGATATCAGCTTTTTATCCACCTGTGCTTCAATCAGTCGTTTTTCCTCAACTAAGAAGCCTTTCCGCTTCTTTTGTTTCATCATGGTCCACTCTTTTCTGCAGCTTCACCTAGAACTAAATTTGCAAAATGCAAGCAAGCTGTAGCTCAGTGCGCTATCTCTATTAAAGAGCAAACGCACTGCACTGACACAGGTGGCAACAATGTCGAATAAATGCCTTCATGATGAGCCTGTAGGCTCCCCACACTCAACAGAACAGTGCAAGCTAGATCTACTGCTGAACACTTCTGTGACATATATAACGCTAATAATTTGTGACTGTGACTGATATATGCAATTAAAACTGGTAAAAATGCACAAGAATAGCGTTACTACAATATCTGAGGATGAGTGCAAGAGTAAAGTAAATTATGTTCTGTAATACCCACTTTTAAATAACAAATTTTGAAAATCCAATGTGAGGCATCATGGTGAAATCAGGCGCTCGTCAAAATAATGAAATAGAAGAAACCAAATATTTTTCTTCCAGTTTGGCCATTTTCATCAAATTTGTGTTTTTTTGGCTCAACATCTTTCATATTCATTTAAAAACACGATGTTGAGTGGAATTTACTCAAACACATTGATTAAAGGCACAAAAAATGTAAATTTACAAATTCCAAGGACTCTCGAGCTTTGAAAGTCACCAAACATTAGCGGCCTTTTTCTTGTTTATTTACCTCTGAAACCAGGCGAAACACACCCCCCCCCCTCCTCAATCCTGAATATCTCAACATCTACTGAAGATAGATATAGGTTATTTATTCATCAAAAGCAAGACAAAATGAACAAGCTTAAAGATACAAATAAGCCCAAAAACTGAAGAGCACCTGATTCCATCGCGCCATGACATAAATACTCTTCATTTTTAACACTTACACTGCCAGCCTATTTTGAGGTTTGTTTTTCCACTGCCAAAAGCAGTTTTGAGCATTGTCAATTTTGGGGGATAAATGATGAAAAAATTCATTTTTAAAACCTCAAGATACGACTCTGAAACTTTAAAATATCGTTGGGTACCAAACGGACTTTGAAATTTTGACATTTTAAATTGACCTTGATTCACCTAACCTTGGAGGCCAACTTGGATTTGACAATTTTAGCGAAAAAAAGGGGTGGTACCTACTCAAAACAATCTTTAATACAGACTACAAATGACTGTAGGGTAGACAATTAATTATATATATGTGTTATAATGTAATATACTATTATGTAAGTATTGTGATACCGAGTGCATATGTTATGCCTTTGCTTCCTGTACATATATTATCATGTATGCACACGCTGTAAAATTTCTACAAAGAGTTTGCGTCCTATTTATTTTTAAAATAAAGAGATATAATCTCATTCATGTAACATTCACACTGATTTGCTTATGTAGATCAGTTTCTAAAACACTCCAGCCCCACTGCCTATCAAGTGTAGTAACAGTAGGCCTAGGCCTGATCCTGTGTATAGGGACACGCCCTCTTTTACTCTGCAGTTTACGCCATCGCCTTCACCTCTGCCACCAACATCGTCACCACTAACCCTTGTCTTCCTAGCATCACTGACTCTTGTCTCAGAAACCTCAACTGGTTCTTCAGAGTCACAGCGTTAATTATGAGCCTCTAAAAAGTCAGAATCAGAGTCATTTTGGGTCATGGTATAGTCTGGTTCATCATCCATTCCGAAACTTTTTTCAGCGTTGTGAAGATGCTAAAAAAAATTCACTAACAAGTAACAAAGGCAAAAATTTGCCCACAAAACCTTGGATCGGATGGAAACCATTCAGGAAAGTTACTTTCGGTTTCCCACAAGTACTAGATGTTGTCAGTTTTAAACTAATAAGGTGTAATAATGGTGTCGACAACAGACCATGAGAGAATAAATTATACTTATGAAGACGACTCAGGTCGTAGGTATGGAGAAGTTTCCATGACGACAACTTAGGTCACCAGTGGCAGGGTAAGTTTTAAATAAAATGTTTACCATCATTAATTTCTATAGTAAGCCTAAAAGGCCGATACAACAATAATATAATATATATATCGTCCCTCAAGCAAGGTTCTAAACAGCGAACTCTGAAAATGCACTTGTTCCCCCCCCCCCCTGAATTCTGACCGAAATCACAGAACACATTATATCCAATTAAAAACTTTCAGCCAGATTACCTATTCAAATGTCGCTACAACGTTTGATTCCAAACAGCTAAAATGTAATATAATACAGTACAGTAACAGCCTTGTTTTTTTCACTCCATTCTTTCTAAAACTTACAGAAAGGCCGAGTTAAATGTTTAGAATCCTGCAGCGACCATAGACCCATGTCACATGTGAAACTTGTAAAAGGCTAAAGAACTCTGGCTATGAACTACGACAGGTCCTAAATTCAAAATGGGAAGAAAAGTTTTCGTTCCACCACACAATGCATTCGTCTAGTCTGGGTGGTGTTGAGGTGTATCAAATAAATGCATCATCATGTTTGAGAATGCCCATGGACTGGACACAAAGGTAGGCTAATGATAATGGTTTTCAAGAGCAAAGTCAAAGTGGCTATACGGACTCGAGTCTAAACAGCCGCTGGAGGCTATTCGGACTCAAATTCCAGTGTGTGTGCGCAATCACCGGTTGTACCGTAAGCGAGGTCTGAATTCGAGTCCGAATAGTCTCCCGTTGCTATTCAGACTTATGACTACTGGTAGGCTATTACACTGCGTTTCACGACTGCAAAGGGATCAAAACATAAAATTCATAATCAGTCTTTATAAGACAGCCGCCCCACCCCTCCTCCCCTTTCTCTCCCACTCTCTTACTTTTTCTCTCTCTATCTTATTTCCCCAGGCCCACCCCACCCCCTTCATCCTCTTTTTTTTGCCTGTGGCTATGCGTACTGCCCTCCCGTACGCACAGCCTCATAGCTATGTGTACGGCCCTCAGATTTAGATAGAATAGTATGCTCACAGCCTTGATAATCGCTCAGCTGGACCGCGTCACTTTATCGTTCGATATCTTGGCCAAGACAAAGATCATGTATAACAAGATAGTTCACTCCTTTATAATTGAGCCAATTTTTAAAAAGTGTCCTCAATATTCTGTGGCGCCCTCTTCGAAAAAGTGCGGACTTTGCAATCAGAGTTACCCTACTTGTGTGAAAATATAATAAAAGTGAATAAACTAATAAACTGTGCTATTCCTATTCTTCTTCTGGTAAAATGAAAGAGAGCTTCAAAACTAAGACTGCAGCGTCATATGAACCAATGTGCGGACTTCCGCAGACACCTTTTTGGCTGAGTGAACTATTTTGTTATATGTACAATCTTTGGCCAAGAGACGCTCAACGAGGTCAAGATAACTTGCAAAGTCATTGGTCACTACTTATAGCTTTGACCTGTAATTTACTACGTCATTTTCCATATATATAAGGAAGGCTGAAATTTTCCATTGAAAAAAGGTCAGCGTCTATGCCCTTTATAGCTGCGCGCCTCCCAATCGAAGTAGGTCATCCCTATATATAGGGCCTGCGCGCTTCCCAGGTAGCCCGGCTCACGCCCTTTATAAAGTGGAGGGCCGTGCACATAGCCTCGATGCTGTGCGTACAGGCAGCCATTTCGTTTGTTTTTTTACAGATCTATATATATTCCCTCCCATATCGTTGCCCACTGCCAGGCCCTACTATTATATAATATCCTTTGTAAAGAAAAGACCATCAGTTCGCACTGGGTCACCATGGTCGGCGTTCATTTGTTGTAAGTTCCTTCGCCAGATCATAGAAACCGAGGAAGGCCAAGGTCGAATTGCTTCTGCTTCACACCCAGTACTCTTAGTGTTTGCACACACGCATTGGAGTATGAGTCGAAATAGGCCTTTCAAGAGGCCCCATTAGATCTAGTTTTGAATTCATTCCAAAACATTCAAATTCAACTGCTTTGTGTCATTGTGACCAAGAATACTAGATCTAGAATCTAGGCCTTGGCAAAGAACACCACAACAGAATATATGCAAGTTACAAAATCAATGTCAAAACCTAAGCCTAAGCCAAGCTTTACTTACACATGGTCTACTAGATCTAGACTAGACTACATCCAGTTTTGCAGCTTAATTTTAACGTGGAAGACACTGTTCAGACAGAGTAATTTTGCATTTGAAAAAGAATACACATCAATCTAATCTAGATCTAGATCTAGATCTAGATCTATCTGCAAACATAGGACATAGGAGAATTGCGAATTTGATCAAGACCCAGATTTCGACCGTGCGCACGCTCCGATTCGCTCGACAGATCATTGGCAGGCGGAGAAATATACACAACTTGACTTACGTAAATTACAACTCGTTGCAAAATCTAACACGAAACCACATTTAAGCCAATTTAAAAGCACGTGCATATAAGTTCATTCGACGTAATTACCAGCTTCAAGCTGCGGATTATGCTAAGGAGTTTCATCTTTATGGCGAGAACTGCGATCTAGGCTGGGGTTATCCCACTGTTGCTGCTGCCTGCTGTTGGTGGAGTCCAGTCGAGTGGTGGAAAAGACTGAGGCCGAGTGGTGTGCGATAAAATGAATGACCCCTGTGAGGTCACAGTATGACACAACGAGAGGGTGAAATTTCAACCAATCGTAGGCTCTTATTCTACTCACGCCTCCCAAAGTCCCAAAGATACGCCTATCTTTGAGTTTGAGTGTGGTCGAAATTCGTGGAGCAACTTATTGTCAAATATTTCCTCAACCATCGAACATTTAAGTCTCCAGTTTTTGCACAATGACTTGTACCAATTTGTCTTAACAGATTAATATTTTTGTAAGAACCTTGCAGCTGTATTCTAGAAAATTCCTTCATAAATACCAATAAAAAATTCCAGTTGCTGTTCTATGCCAATGCTAGGCTATACAGGGTAGGGACTGGGTCGCTTTTAAAAGCAAGTCTCTCATTTTTTATTTTTCTAATTGTGTCATCATGCTTATTGAACGGATGATTTGAGAACCTTTAGAGCGAAAATATGTTCTCTATAAAATTAATTTCTTTTAACAAGTTTTGCAACTAGATCTAGCTTAGGCCTAAACACTAAACAGTATCATTGGTGAGCTGTGACGTATAACGTATAACGTATAACTATAACGCAGGTCACGTCATGTGCGCATGCAAAATGTGTGTGAGAAGAGGGAAGTGCTGTGCATACATGTAATTCCCTTTTCCACGTGACGGAGATTTATAATACTATTTCATATACATTGATAAAGAAAAGTTTTTTAAATATAACCTCAATTGTTATGGAAAAATATGATTACGTTAAGACACGTTGATACAAACTGATGTGCAAAGCATGGGTGGCATAATAATTATGCACCCGTTAAACATGTTCTTGAGGAATTTTTTACCGCACCACAGAATCTGTGGACCGCTCTATGCCTATAGATTTTAACAGGTTAAAAGCTGGGACAATATCGCTTACTTTTAAAAGCAAGTCCGTGCTTTGTTATCGCGACTTTATGCTTATTGAACGCATATTTTGAGAACCTTTAGTGCAAAAAAAGTGTCCACAAATAAAAAATAATTTCTTGTACCTGTGGGCCCAGAGACCGTATCATTGTGTGGGCCTACAAATTTCTACTAAAATTTAGAGTTATTGGTCAGAATTTAATTGTGACACATATATGCGTCGTATACAAAATTAAATGTATACGGCAAGAGGGGTGTGCTGTGAACAATCCCATTTTCCGTTAAAATTTTAAAAAGTTTATGTATGAACAATTATTTTTTTAAGCTAGCCTCTATTGTTGTGGGAAAATTTGATTAAGTATAAAGACAGATTGATACAAACTGCTGCGTAAAGTATGCCATAGTATGCCAATGACATCGGCTTCACCCGTAAAAAGAGATATTTGAGGACAGGTTGTGCCACAAATTTTTGACCGTACTGTAGTACTACTATCTAGGCATAGCTTGCTAGATCTACTGCCGTCTTCAATGATTTAATAAAATACGGTCTCTGGCCGTCTTTTTTTATACCGTAGGGGAGGGGAGAGTGGGGAGAACTGACGTAGATAAACTGAGACGAGGCCCAAAACACACATATTTGTAGACAAAAGGGAACCCTACTTTAATATGAATGAATTTAATTATCAATACCTTTTGATTGCTATTGCATCCCTTCAACTTTGTACATGACCATTTTCAAGTTCCAAAGACCACCCAGTTGTGCAAAGTTTTTTCAAGACCAGATTCTGACTCTCTTCATCAAATGTTTTGAACTTCAGCTGAACGTGAGTACGGGTTCAGTCATACTACTGATAATGGCATATATCAACTTTATAAAACAATCATATTGGACTGGCTGAGTACCATCTCTCATATAAAAATAAAATGCAGAATCAAACTAGGCGTCTACGATCCTACCCAGGGTCAGGAGAATTGGGACACAATGTCCTACTTGGTGTCCCAGTTTCCCTGCAGCAAAAAAGATCAACTTATCCAATGCAAAATGATCTCATTGGGATGGAACATGCTGGAGCAACAAAAGTACAATTCGGTTCTCATATGTTGGCAGCCCATAATTTTAGCCTGCCACGTAGTTAGTTCTAGATTTCTAACACACGGCTTGTACGAACTTACCTGGGGTTTTGTTTGTTTGTGTGTTTGTTTGTGTGTTTGTTTGTTTGTTTCTCCCCCCTGGGGCAGTGCCACTGACTGTAGTTTCTTTAGGCCATTCCCAAAGGGGGGACATTTCTCGTTCAAGCACAGTAGAATTGTAAATGGGCTGATTCGTGTCACGTTCATAACTGTGCCTGATCTACAACAGGGAACTGCTGCTTTTTCTTTCCTAATCCTTACTATTGTCATTTTCCTCTACTTCTTTTGTATGTTTGTCTCTCTCTTGTGACCTGCTATTTCCGGGGTGCCTTGATAGTCGAATCAGACCTTGTGCTGTTGAAGCTACAGAGGTGAGCAGAGTAAGTCTGATTCCTTGTAAAGACTTCTCTGTTGACACCCACCCCTTAATTTGGCGCTCATATGACCGTATGCAGTTGCGAGCGCCGTAAAACCCTCTACTATTAAAAAATGTTTGTTTGTTTGTTCTTCCCCTTCTGTTCAGAAATGCATCTTATAGACAGCAGAAGACTTTACCCCACATTTCACATACAGCCAACAGCAAACCACTTTATGCAGTCTTCCTTGGGACGAGCTTCATCATGATGAACTTTGTGTTGCAGCAGCGGGGTTGGGGGATTGCACTGATTGCCATCTCGACTATAGTGCAGTAGACTGGTAGAGACGATTGAGACAACCTGAGGCCAGGCTTGCTTCATATAAAGATCTGTTTAGCATGATTGCCATGCTCAGGGGCAAAACCAATTACATGTACAGCTCCAGATGTACTTTACATAATAAATTCAAACTAGAACAAGGCAGACAAAATGTGTCTAGGACCATGTCAACGCGAAAAGGTTTCTTTTCCCAATACATTATGTACTCGTCAGTTCTGGGGTCGTCTAGCTGTTACGTAGACTTGAGAGTGAGTCCTCACAATATATTAATATAAAGCCTCACGGGCGCCCGCACCACACTTTTGGACGTCTCTAGATATCCGAGATGGTACAGTTGTTTAATTGTAGTTCCTCCGAGTGCATTGAAATTTTCATTCCAATCGTTTTATGAATATTTACAAATGTCTAAATATAACTTAATAACATTTTCATGACCAGTGCAGATCAGAAGCAATCGCCGACAAGCGCTAGAAAAGGCTGAGCTCACAGAGACGTATTAAGGAAAGAGATAAATTACATATCAAGCAGCCACCGTGGAAGGAGTGCCGCGTGTAGTGTGTAGCCTACCTTTAGCGGTCAATTCGCTGGCGCGAGTCTAATTTGCATGAGCTTAATAAGGACCATACGACCCAGACAGTTGGCGGATGACGGTGTTAAGGCGCAAATACTGTTAATATAGGTGTTCTTTTTCGTACATTGGAAAAACCTGGAGGTAAGCAGGGCTGGCGGTATTACGGGGG